TCAACCCTAGTTCGGTCTTCTGTATGTTTAAAATGACAGAATAATATGCAGAATAATTTAAACTCCATTACTATTTTATGCATATCCCCATTATAGCACTTATCACATCTTGCTGTAATTTTTTGTTTACATATCTGTCTCTTCCACTTGGCTTTGAGCTCCTCCAGGACTTAGGCTACGATTTGACTCATCTTAGATTCTGCCTCCTCCTCTGTACACAACAGCTTAGGGCTCTGAACATAGTAGGTTTTTAAATGAATGAGCCAGCTTTCAACAATCAAATATGCCTGCTATGCATGTATACATTTATCCATAGATATTTTTACTGTAATTATTTGTTTTTGAGAAAAAAGTAAAACATTTATACATTTATTGTACATAGCCTGAAGTTCTAAAGTGTGTGTATGTACAAACGGTTAAATCAAGCCCATTAATAGAAGAATTACTTTTTGTATAAATGCACATACCTTTCGTGGTAAGAATGCTTAAAATCTTTTGGCAATTTCCTTCTTAATGATTGAGTTTATTCTTTGGCAACTTGCATATGTACATAATGTATTCTGTTTACTTTCATTCCCACCCTCTCCTGTCTCCTTCCTACTGTGGTTACCGACTCCCTGCTCCTTATAGGTCCCATTCCCACATTCTTACCTTTTTGTTTTGATTTTAGTTGGGACCATCTGTGTGGCCATGTCTGGAACTATCCATCAGAGCAGGGATTCTCAAACTTCCTGATGCTGCGACCCTTCAATAGAGTTTTTCACGTTGCGGTGACCCCCAACCATTAGATTATTTTCATTGCTACTTCATAACTGTAATTTTTCTACTGTTATGAATTGTAATGTAAATATCTGTGTTTTCCCATGGTCTTAGGCAACCCCTATGAAAGGGTCATTTGACCTCCAAAGTGTTAGAGGGCTGAGGTTGGCTCAAGTCTGGCTACTTCCTGCAGGCATGGGCAATGTGGGAGAGGGGAGAGTTGGGAGTTGGCATGCTCACACTCAATGAGAGGTGTGGCTGGGGGCGGTATCTGGGTTGCTGTCATCCTGGAGTCCTCAGGCAGCTGTTTTTTGAGGGAGATGAAAAGGTAGGTGGCTAGAAGAAAAAAAAATGTTATTATTGGCCCTATGAAATGGGGCTAGCCATAGGATAGGTATGATAGCCGATAATACAATAGCAACATGAAAGCAGATGATATGATAATATGATAGTATGATAACAATAGCAGATAAAACCAGATTTCAGTTGGCAGGTGTCCTTGATCCAGAAGAAGAGCACTTTGTGGGTTGATCTTGGCCCAGGCATATCTTGGTATCATTGCAAAAGACTCAATGTCATGGATGAAGTAATAAGTTAACAGTATCTTAAGTTGTCAAATGCATTAGATAGCTCTGGGAGGGATAAATAAGCAAAAATGAGACAGCGTTTTAGCTATGCAGGCAATCCCAAATCCTCTCCTTGGTCTTTGGAGAACAATAGTTCTGGAAGCAGTGCTTGCCAGTCTGCCAAACCCAGAGGCAAGGCCTTGGAGGCAGAAGGTCTTCTGTCTTCTTGGAGGAGCTAAAGGGTGCTGCAGAAGCTGGCGTGTATGTTAGAGGCTCTTTTTGTTAAAATGCCATACCCTCAGATCTGTAAAGACACTTAAAAAGTACTATTACCTGTTATTTAAACTGGGCATATAAGCTAAATTTAGGTGTATATTTTATCCATTAAGTTATAGTTTACCAATGCTAGTAAATGTAAGATTAAAAGGAATATTTTAATAAGTCAAATAATCTTAAAATGAGCACACATGCACACAGAAACATTTATAAAGTTACACAGACATACTGTAGACACATTATTTTAACAGAGAGACAAATCAAGCACTTTTGGAAACCTGTGAAGGCAGGCGGCAAAAGTCAGAAAAGCATAGAGGTGATCCCATTAAGGACCAGACTAGCAGATGCTGCAAGAGGGACAGGGCAGAAACAGATTTTTTAAAATCCCAGAGTGAGAGAAACAGTAAATAGCTGGGAAGGAGAAAGGGGACCAGAGTGATCCCCAAATAGCAGGCAGGGGCCAGGGAAGCATAGCAAACAGCTGACGGGTGAGCGCCTTTTTGAAGAATCAGCAATGGCTTCCATTGTCCTCACCTGCCGGTGGAAAGGGAGTCGGGTTTAGCACCCCACCTCCCATCCAAAACTGGACGGGAGCCAGCAGTACCTTCGGGCGCCCGGCAGAGCCCCACAGGCTAAGGAGAGGGAGAAGTGGGGGTGGGACAAACCGTGGGCTCAGCAGAGGAAAGGCAGAAAGTGGGGGCAAGAGTACGCATCCAGAAACGGTGGGTTACGAAGTCTTAGCCCCAATTTAAAAGGATTTTTCTTGTAAAAGCTGCTCAAGAGCATTTGAGTAATGGCTTGGAATTTGTAAGGACCCACTTTAAAAGTCTATGCCCAATGAGACTCAAGTCTATTGCGATGCATCCACCAAACAGAGCCCGTGAGTGGAAACGGGGGACATCTCCCCACACCCAAGTGTCATCTCAGCAAAAGTCTGGCTTTTGCCATGGGTCAGGCTCCCAGCACAGTCCGTGGCTTCAACAAAGACCCAAAAAGCAAATGGGTCACCCCAGGGACCCTATCGGCATAGAGCAAAAGAAGGGGAACTCAGCGAGTCCAAAGCAAAATCTGGTGGAGAGCTTGGGGTATGAACATTTTCCAGCACTGCAGCACTGTACATCTCGGTGGAACCTCTAATATGTTAGGAATATTTCCTAATGGAGCCTCTCTGCTGACACAAAAAAATCCAATCAAACCAGATTAGACTGAATCAAAAATGCAAAAATGCCCACGTTTAAGGAATGCCGTGTTCTCAGATGGTCAGGAGTATGGCAGGGGGAAGACAGAGGGAGAGCACTTGTAAAACCCCAAACCACGAGTTCCTTTTTCTGGTACAAGCCTAAATACCCTGTGGGAGTGGTCCTGACCCTCCCCAGGGAGGGGTCAACACTTGGCAGGCTGAGAGTTAGAATCCATGTGCTTGGCAAGTCCCAGACCAGTGGCTGGGGTGACACTTCCAACTCAATATTGCAATGATGGTTAGTTGGTGGCGGTGTATGCCTTTAATCCTAACACTTGGGAGGCAGAGGCAGACAGATCTCTGTGAGTTTGAGGTCAGCCTGGTCTACAAAGCAAGTTCCAGGACAGCCAGGGCTACACAGAGAAACCCTGTCTTGGAAACCCATGAGAGAGAGAGACAGACACAGAGAGAGAGAGAGAGAGAGAGAGAGAGAGAGAGAGAGAGAGACTCGGGAAGGGGGACACTGAAAGAGCTGTAGGTGGCGGGGCGAGAGTGATGTGTAGTGCTCATAATGAAGTTCTGGGAAAAAGTTATTAAACAAAAACAGAGAATGGAACATCCACGACCTAGTCAATTCCTGGCAAAGAGTACTTGCTTGCTAGATAATTGTTCAATACCAATATGAATTTAAGTTAAAAATTCAGACCCCTGTCTCCTGAGAGTGTAGAGCTACAAGGGAAGCACTTTGTGAATGTAGCTGTCTATGTAGTGTTTGAAGAATGAAACGTGTATGTGTGTAACTGCATTATTTCTTCTTAAAAATTAAATTCCTGCCAGCTTTTAAATAATAAAATTTAATTATTCCCTTTCTCCTCTATATAAATACAGATTCTAATTCTTGAAGAAAGGAAGAATGCAGGCAAGATCTGAACTAGGCCTGTGTTAGTTTGAAATTAGTAGCTAAGAAAAGGTCACATTTTTTGCTTGTTAAAGTATACCTGTGCATTAGTTATCAGAGCCCTTGCCCAGCATGGAAGCCCTGGGTTTGAACCCTAGAACTGAAAATAAGTTAGGTGTGGTGGCCAGTAATCCCAACACTTGGGAAGCAGAGGTAGAAGAATCAGAAATCCAGATGTTTAAGGTCAGCCTGGGAGATGGGTCAGTTGGTAAAGTGCTTACTGGCAAAACACCAGAACTGGAGATTAATCAATAGAACCCACATATAAATGTTAGGCATGGTTTTACATGCCTGGAACCCTAGAACTGGCATATGGATGTTAGGTGTCCCAAGGCAAAGGCTTCCAGATACCTATTAATATATCTGATGCTGGCTGTCTGGTTCTCCCAATATCCCTCAGTCTCTACCTGTTACAGGGTCTTCCTGGCTGCCATACCCTTCCCCCTACCCTAAACTTCTCCAGCCCAGGGAGCAGACTGGAGTCCTTCCCCCAGCAGTTCTTTCTTATATAACCTCAGCCATTTTGGCTAGAGTCCTCTTGGCCTCTTTGCCGCTTGGTAGCCTCTCAGTTTCTGATGTCCTGCCTCTTAATGCCTGGCTCCCTCCTCTCTTCTCTGCCCTCTTCTCACAGGGCCCAGGTCATTTGCCAGGCACACTCATTCTGGACTCTCCCAAACGCCTCTATTTCTGCCTGTGCTCTCCCTTATACCTGTAATAAAAACCCCAACCCCTTAGGGGCCGTCATCTCCTCCTTTTATTTGTTTTTCTTTTTCCATTCAGTAAGGGCAAGAGGACTCTGGGGTTCACTGAGCACCCAGCCTAGCCTACTAGATAAATTCCAGGCTAGTGAGAGACCTTGACTCAAAGGAGGCAGATGTGTTTCTAAAGGATGGCATTTAAGACTGTCCTCTGGCCTCCAACATCCATGTGCACAAACAGAAATGCACCTGTGTACCCGAGTGTACCCCTGCCCCCCCCACACCAAACATTAAAATGTTCACCGTTATCTTTAGCTACATATAGAGTCCCAGGCCAACCAACAACAACAACAGCAAAAAGTAGCAAAGCTCTACCCAATACCACACCTTTGGGCAGACATCTAAGTGTGTCGTGAAAGCGGATCTGATCATCCATCTAGGGATGTTACATTGTAATGCAGATGTGGTTATAATCTAGATTCCCTTTTGGTGACAGTTTTAAGCCATGTTTAATTAGAAAGTGCAAAAAACGCAATTTAGAAGCTACATAGTTTTTACCTATATATATCACACATTTTTATTTATTTCAATGCTGACAATTAGCTGTAATCGCAAAACAAATATGAAATACAGTACAAACACATTTAAACGCATCAACATTTATGGGGGGTCTCCTTGATAATGACATATTTAGCAGTGAGAAGCCCATCTCTGGGTCTGAACGCGCACCAGAGATTTGAGTTTTTATCTTCTCCGCCTTCCCATCTTTGCCTTAATCTTCATTCACCCCTGGTCTTCCACTGGAGACTGAGAGACTTTTCTGATGAGATAAATACATAAGAGGAAGCAATGACAAGGGAGCCAGCGGGTATACAGAGCAAAGGTTTCTCTGTGCTCTAGAGACCCACTGGCGACCAGCGTGGGCCTACTCTACCTCCTCACTGCTTGCCCAACTCATCCTTTTAGTTTAAACATCATCACAGTATTTAAAGTGCTCAGAGAACTGGCATGCCTAAAGCGCGCAGAGCCATGCTCACAGGTGAAGGAGATAGCAATGTTATGTGCAGTTTTAGCCTAGGCAATGGAATTTTGCAGAGTGCTGTCCCCAAGTCCTGGATTGCTCTCCCCAGAGTGAAGGGTTTCTGTTTTAAATGTTCAGGCCTTACCCAGACTCATGGGGTGAGAGAAATCCCAACTCTCCAAGTGATGGTTTTAGTGAGAGGTGTAGGCTATAGGTAAGTCCTGAGGACATAAAGACAGAGCCTTCCCAGACAGTATTCTAACCCCAACAACATCCACAGGATCTGTTTTGCTCCCTTTCCCATGAGAGGCCATGGTGAGAGGATTATACGTGTTAACCAGAAAATAAACCTGAACCAGACACAGAACCTGCCTGTGTCTTGGTCTTGTAATGCTCACCTCTAGAAACAGGAGAAATAAATTTGTTTATAAGCCTACAACTCTGTAATATTTCATTACAGCATTTCCAGCAGACTAAGAAATGGCTACCCTGCAGACATGCTGGCTCAGGACCACTCTCCCCTTGCCTATGAGTCCTAATGTTTGGTCTAGTTGACTTTTCATAGATAGATTAGCTCTGGGTTTCTTTGAGTTCCCAAAGCTCCTCGAAGTTCTTTTTCTCAGTTCTTGTAAACCCTGGTGACGTCATCAACAGCGTCAACTGCAGAGTTCCCTAGCGGCGCCAGGGGCATTTCGCAAGGAATTTGTTCAACCCTCAAGTCAGTTGCCCAGGGAAACAAACTGGTGATGTCACAAGGCATGCCTCTTGCGGTTCTCCTTCAAGTCCCTTCTGCACTGGCTGAGGTAGGGTCCTGTCCATTGCTCTCCCAACCCAACTGTGTCTTCTATTCCCCAGGGTGGTGCCAAAACCCTTGCTTTCCCCACTCAGCCTCGTCTATGCTCGTTCTATGCAGAACACTGGCCACAGCTATCTCCCTATGCTTCTTCCCTCTGGGCGCATAAATGGTATGCAAATGGAATGTCTAGACATCTTTTGTTCTCTAGTGTAAGGGTGGGGAGATTGAGACTCCCTTGAGTCAGTCCCTAGGGGGATCAAAAAAAAAAAATGGCTGTTTCAAGCTTGATAATACCTCAGAGGTTTCACAAGTAGAAAGACCACACCTGATTCCCTTATCTTTCTTTGGGCCATAAACACACCCAAGTCTCTACTTCCTGATTTAAGAGAAGCTCCCCTTCTTTGAAGAGACACCTCACAACCTTTGACCTTTCTGAGCAAATGAAAAGGAAGAACAGAGGAGGCTTAGAGAGACGTCATTTGTAAGAGGTTATTTAGCAGGCGGTGCCCTGTTCCAAGTGCAACTCTTCTTTGTTGCTCGCCTCAGAGCAGTTTTGAAATATATGCAAATCATCAGGTTATCTAACTGCAGCTAACTAAAAGATTTCCTCCCAAGGTTATAAGAAAAGGTGCCTAAGGGAGAAGCATGACCCAGCCTGTGTTGAAACTCACTCCCAGAGGACTTTGTTTCTACAGCTCTCCAGTCTGAGCAGAGAGAAGCGGTGGCTCCCAGGACTCAGAGGCAAAACAGAGAGCAAGCACACAGCTTCCAAAACCATGACGAAGACAACCACTTGCATCTATCACTTCCTTGTTTTGAACTGGTACATCTTCCTCTATAGCTACATCCCACATATTGGAAAGGATAATGAGAAGTTAAAGGAATTCCATGATGGCGGACGGTCAAAGTACTTGACGCTCCTTAATCTGGTAAGTCTGTGTGTCTGCATCCGGAACCACGTCGAGCTTTCCCACGTACTGTTTTACTAAACACAAGTCCCCTATATGTCTTCCTTCTTCATGGTTGGTGAGTTTGGGGCTTCCCCTGTTATTTAGCAATTTGCTCAGAGGAACTCAGTCTGGAAACGCTCCATAGCTACCGGGGTGTCTAATTGTAAAATGCTCTCATGCAAAATCTCTTGGAGTCCAACTAGGGGAACACGGGCTTGAGTACAAAACACGGGGGAGATCTTGAGCCCTGCCTGGGACTCTGAAAAGAAGGCAGAGTTGTCACATGTTGTGTAGGAAGTGTGACTTCCACTGGAGGAATAATGTCCTTTGACAGCACACAGCGACTCACAGATTTATCTAAGAAAAGCAGGCGCGTTTGCCACCTTTCTCTCCCACTACAATTTTTTATAGGCTCAAACTCCATCTGAAAGGAGAGATCACCCGAGCGAACAACCAATACACAATTTCAACTATTTTAAAACCAAACTTTGAGCTTAATCCCTTCTTGCCTTCTTAACCTGACTGGCCACGTGCTACTGAGCAAAGTCTGAAATGACTGGGAGAAAAACTGCCTTGTAAGAAGGACTTTAGGGGAAATAATGTATTTTTAACACACACACATATATGTTAAAGATAAAATTGGAGCATCTTTCAGACATAGGAATTGACATTTAAGTCTTTGTCGCTGTTGCTAAAATACACAGTTCCATAAAACCACCTGGTTTCAGAGAGCTGGAAATAATATTCTTGTTTTCAAGATTTATTTTTTATTTTATGAGCGTTTTACACGCTTTGCCGACATGCATGCATACGTGCCGCATATATTTCTGACACTGAGGTTTGTATCTCTGTTGGGTCACATGGGGCTGTATGTCTATCCTTGTTTAATTATTGCTCAAACTCAGGCCCCAGTATGGCCCTTTTACTGCCCAGAATTACGGAGCAGTGGAACAGATTTTGTACACAGGTCCATAAGCCACCTCCCTGACTTCTTTTGGCTTTCAGTGCAATTTCCCCCTTCATTTTCTGTCTACTAGCCTATCCTACTTTGATGCTGTTTTAAAATTATAACATTTTTATTTATTTTGTGTGCATGGATGTGTGTAGGTGTTGGGGTCGTGCGTACCACACTGTAGAGGTCCATGCACAACTTTCAGGAGACAGCTCTGTACTCTCACTGTTTGGGTGCTTAGGATTGAACTGAGGTGGGCATGCTGGGCAGAAAGTATCTTAAAGAGAATCTCACAGGCCCAAATCATCTCAGAGTTCAATCTCGTTTTCTGCCTTCCTGTCAAATTAGCCACCCAATCAAATCCCATTTGTTTTCCTTTTGGTTGGACCCGTCTTCCCCTCCCCCACATCCCTGCCTTACTCCTTGTCCTCCTTCCAGACTCACTAATTGGCATCCGAGGACCACGTTAGCCCTGCATCGTCCTTTCCTCCAATGTGCAGGTTCCAGATTGATCCCCCTAAGATTTTTTTGTATTTTTCATTAATTCCTTTTAACATAGTGGCCTTTTGGGGTGGGGGGAGAAAGAAAAAAGAAAAAAGAAAACTCACCTCTTAGCTCCCCTTCTTCCCAGGAAAGCTGGTGTCTCTTAGAGAAAGGCCTCTGTCTCACCAGCTATTCCCACAGATGTCCCTCCTCAAGTCTCTGCTCACATCCCCCAAACAAAGGCCTCCTGGCCTCTGTTCAGCAGTTTGCTTCCCCCACAGGCTTCCACAGACCCCCTGAAATCCCATGTCCGGTAGCAGGACTGTTTGCTAGTCCTCTCCCTTCTCTTATGTGAACAGAGAAAACAGTTGAACTCTTACTAGGTCAAAACCAGTTCTACCTCATAAGCCCTTATCAACCCAGGCCACTTACAGTTTTCTGTCCTGTTTGCCAGGAGGGCAGGGCGTAGGGCACTCGCGGAGTGGAACTTTGCTCCCTTGGTCTGTTGTAAGTGTGGCTGTGTTTTCTCCTTTGCTGAGTTGATAGCTCTCTGGCAACTTCCGGCCCCAGCCTGTGAGCAAAGGAGACATTACCTGGAATGATTCCTTTCTAGACTTCATGAATATTCCCCACACCTGACAAAGATGGGTTAAGCACCATTTAGGGGTACCATTCCAGAGGAGTTTTTGAGTACTGTGGTTCTAATAAATGTTTGAACCTCAAAACTTCTACCTCTTGAGGTCTCACAGGTTTATTTACGGGTATTAGTTTTGAATGGATTTATATTTTGTTTGAAATAAATTGGCCTGGCTGTAGAGGTCTCCTAACTTACTCTAATACCCATGTTTATTTTACTTCACCTTGGTGACATCAGTATCCAATCCAACTTAGCAGGAATTGTAAATTTTATTATATTGTATTTTATTTGGTAAGTTTTCTGCCTGAATGTTTGTATGTGTTTCATGTGCACGCAGTCTCTGCAGAAACCAGAAGATAGGCAGATCTGAACCGTCACCTAGATTCTGAGAACTGAACCCAAGGTCTCTGTAAGGGCAGTAAATAATTGTTAACTACTGGGCCACCTCTGTAGCCCATCAACTTAGCAGAGATTGTATACCCCTTCTTTTAATTTATACTGTTTAGTTAATCAAACATAACTATTTTAATGCCTTTGTAATATGCCCTGTTAGTCATGCTAATCTGTGTGTTTTCTTGTGTTAGCATACAAACTAAATGAGTGTCATTGAATTTTCATACAGGCTTTGTTTTTGTTGATCCCCACACTCCCTCCTCTGCCCTCCTACTCTCTCCCTGCCCCCTCTCGTCCCCCCCTTTGTCCCCAGTAGCCTCATTCTCCTTTCGTGTCACATGCACCACTGTCCTTGTTTTCTTCCTCTCCACGACCTCTCTTCCTCCCTCCCACAGCCCCTGTTTAGTTTCTTGACTTAGACGCTCCAGCCCACGCGTGGAAACGGTGACATCTGACAGGTGAAGGAAAACCTGTTGCGTTTTGTCTTCCTGTGTCTGATAGACCTTTCTGTTCTGCCACCTTTAGTTTCTAATCGACTGAGTGCACCTCTGCCTCCCTGTTGAATAACAAAGCCTGTCTTATTACAAGTCAGATTTTAGAACGTGGCACTGTTTTCCTCCTGAAACTGCCCCCCAGGGATTCCAGAAAGAAGCCAGAAAAGCTGCCAGAGGGTTGGTGGCTGGTAGAGTGCTGGTAACTAAGAAGAGGAAGGCAAGGGGACAAGAAAGTCAGACAGAGAGCTTGCCCCAGAGAGAGTGTGTGCTCTGGTGGTTGAGTCCATGGTGTGCACCCCGGGCTGAGGACTTTATGATGTTCGTTTCCACATTTGCTAAACAGGAACAAAATTAGAAGCTAGCAGCATGACCATAAACTTAGAAGGCCATCCACTTGGTGTAAGGAGAAAGGATGGAAGGGAGATGGGGAGCTTGGAGTTATCTTGTGTTTGATGAAACTGGACAGTGTGGAACGCGGTGATCGTGGATCTCCTTGCTAAGTTCTCAGTGGATGGTAGATCTAGATGAAAGCCAACCACCACCTCTGTAGCTCCTGTGTATGCCTCCCCACACTACACTCTCTGCCATTCAGCTAGGGGAGGTTGTTTGTTGAAACACCCTTCTCCCTGCTAGGTAGCTGCTGGGGTAGACGTCCTTGACACTGCTGCTTTTGGGGAGGTATAGCTTCTGGTTCAAGCAGACAGCAGTGAGTCCTTCGGAGCGAGGAAGCCCCAACAGCTGAGTGTAGAAACCGAGCTACACACAGTTTTAGTCTGCTTGTGCTGGCTCCGTCGGTGACTACAGTACCCACTTGGGTACCGAGAGGCAAACCCTTGATTTCCATCACCGAGTAAAGATTTTCATCTGTGAAGCTCTTTAGCTTTCCAGAGCCTGAATGACGCACTGATGTTGCTCGCAAAGACACTTAGAGCTGCTGACTTAGCTCTTGGGTAGCTGAAGGGATTAGAGCTGATAGCACGGAGGGAAAGGACGTCTCCAGCACCCGAGTAAAGCCGTTTAAATGGACTGAGTAGCCAGGATGGAGAGCACTTTGGGGAGACCTGTGTTGAGAGAGGCCTCGCTTCTGGAGCTGGAGCACTGGCTGTCTCCTTACGTACTGTGTGATTCTGAGTGAGTTACCTAACTTTTCCACATCTCGGTTTGTTCCTGTGTTGCAGGGAGGAAAGCAGATCCTCCCACCTCCCCAGAGCTAAGAGATTCATTCCACAGCTCCCAGATGGTGTGTGGGCTTCTGATGGTTCACAGGTGATCTCCCCTCCCAGCAGCACCCTCAGCAGGAGGAAGCTGCCTCCACCAGGGTTTAGCTCCTTCCCTGGGGTTGCCAAGGCCCACTTCAGGGAAGCACTGCAGGGCTGCTCAATACAAGAGCTCCTCTAAGAATCTGTCTGCCCCCAGATTCTTCTCCCTTCCTGTCACAGATACTCTGGGGGTGTTGTCTGTCCTCAATGAATCCCCACAGGCACATCTCAGAACCACAGACTGTTTCTCACGGATTCTGCCTTTTCATCCCACAGATAACTTAAAGAAAATGTCTCTCCCACCTCCTCTTTCTCTTTTTCCCTTCTTCCCAGTAAAGGCAAAGCGACACCGAGCCAGTCCTGACCCATAGTCTCTCCAACACAATTCTGGGTTCCTAACTGGTGTTCCAGGGATGTTGGCTGAATGCACTGATAACCAGAACAGGGTTCTAATTGGTATGAGCCACTGCCGGGAACCCCTCTTCCCTCCTGTAGCTTGCTCTATCCCAGGAAATCCTGCTGCAGAATGAAAGCCACTGTTACCAGCTACATAGCCTTGACCAAGGCCTCCTACCGTCCTAACCAACATATCCCACTATTTCCTCCTTCTTATTATTGGTCTCTCCATCTTCTCTTCATTGTTCTAAATTGTGTACTTCGCGTTCTTTGTCCTCCTGGCTTTTGTTTGTCAGGCCCCCTTGTTTACCTCAGCTTCTTTTTTTATTTTAACTCGATCTATTTTTTTATTTAATTTTTTTGAGAACTTCATAAATGAGTAGTTTATTTACATAGTTTCACCACTCCCTCTCCCCTCCCAGCTTCCCCAATGTACCGAAGCTGGAATAGCCTATCAGGCAGCTCCTCCCTAGAGGACACTGATGCTCCCTCCCTCGGCAGCCATTGATGGATTGTTTGTGGCTCTTCACCTAGTGTCGCGTGCTCCTACATCAGCCGCCAGCTCACAGATAACAACATGGAGACGTATTAATTACGAAAACTTGACAATAATTATAATAACAACATGGAAACTTACAATCTTGACCTCTTGCTTAGGCTGGTCCCACTAGCTGTTATAAATTAACCCATTTATATTAATCTATATTCTGCCATGTGCCATAACCTCTCCTCTCTCTTGCACCTTCTATTTTCCTCTATATGTCTCGCCAGCAACCACCTTTCTTCTTCCCAGAGTCCTTTCTGTCCCTGGAAGTCCTGCCTAACCTCATTCTGGCTTACTATTGGTCATTCAGCTCCTTATTAAACCAATTAGAAGGTACCCTGAGAAAAACACATCTTCATAGTGTAAAGAAATATTCTGCAACAACCTAGGGGTGAGTTCTTGTGAAATTTCAAACACCCACATTGGCATGCCAACTGGTGGGATTATTATGTAGGTCTATTTAGACCATATTGTTGAGAGCACATGGGTGAAGCCTCAGAGTCTTTCTTAACCTAGAGGCTCATGGGTAATGAGTGGGGATTGGGCAATTCACACCAGCCCTGGTTTGCCTTGGCTAAACATCCTCTCCTTCCTCCGAGTTAGCTGCATTCTTTCCACTACCATCGGACAAAACGTCTGTCCCAGTTAGTCCTTACATTCTCTTTAATTTGGAAAGAGTCTTTCACTGCAAGGGTTACATCAGGTTGAGGGAAGGGCAAGGAAAGTCCCGGGGTGGCCGAGTCAGGCCCAGAGCCTTGGGCTTGGCACTGGGTTCCTTGACTCATCCATCAGGAGTCATAAAGTCTTGTTCAGGGGACTTGTGGAATCTCCCTCTCTGGAATTATTATTTTTTTAATGGAAGAAATTTTCATTTCCTGGGGTTGTTTAAAAGGGTTTTGGCTTTAGGGCAAGGAAATAAATCTGATGACTTAGAAAGGGTAAGTTTCCATGATTATAAGATCCTCGTGGATTTGTGAAGACATGGAATGTATAAACTAAATAGGCTTCAGCTCCAGTTTCTTAAATCACATTAGTTATTTTTTTAAATGTAAATTCAGCTCTGTATCTGGTCATAAGTTTGTTAGCTAGCAACAGAAACAAAAGACGGCCAACACATTTAGAGCAGCAGCATTTTAGGAAAAGGCCCAGAACATTCCACTGGAGTAAAATCAGGGACGAGCTGGTAGAAAGGATGACTCAGGAAACACCAGTTATGTAAAGGCTTTGATCAACAGGACGCTATGAAGCCTGCTTTCCTGGGAACCCGAGTCCCAGGACAGTGGATCCCTGTCCATCTGCATGACAGGAGATGACCCCAATGTTCTCTCGACACCCCTCAGGACTCCCTGGCATCTCATCCTCCTCATCTTCCCACTCTGCTCAGTGGCTCCTTTACATCCTAACTCTTGCTGTGTCTTTCCCTGGGCAGCATCCATGTGCAGGCTGCCGCTGCCCAAGTAATCCTTGTTGATGCTGATGTTGTGTGTCAGTTGAGAGATCCAAGTAGCAGTCATTGTTCTGCTGTAAGTTCCTTAAAAGCATCCCAGTTCTTTCTCTGTCTGTAAAGCCACCACATGATTTGACAAGGCTGTCCTAATGGACAATGGGAGCTCCTTGTGTCACTGTATTGGTAATCACAAGTCTGAGATTGAGTCTTTTCGCTGGCTTGCAGATGGCCCGTCTGTTCCTGTGTCTTCTC